GGCCTCGTAGAGCATCAGGTGCTTGGGCGTGCTGCCGAGCCACTCGACGCCCCGGAGGACGTGACTCACCGCCATGTGGTGGTCGTCAACGACGTTGGCGAAGTGGTAGGTGGGCAGGCCGTCGGACTTGACCAGCACCGGGTCGCCCTCCACCTTGCCCAGGTCGAAGGTGACTGGGCCGTAGACGAGGTCCGGGACGGTGGTGGGGCCCTCCTTCAGGCGGAGGCGGACGGTGAAGGGGCGGTCGACGGCCAGGTGCTCCGCCACCTCTTCACTGCTCAGGTGGCGGCAGCGGTTGTCGTAGCGGATCGTCTCGCGGTTCTTGGCCGCCTCGCGGCGAAGCAGGTCCAGGCGTTTTGGGGTGCAGAAGCAGCGGTAGACGGCGTCCGTCTCCTCCAGCAGGCGGTTGATCATCGAGCGGTAGAGGTCGGCTCGTTGAGACTGCAAAGTAGAAAGGTAAACAACAGGTTCGATTTCGAAATAGAACAGCAGCAGCAGCAGCAGCCTACCTGAATGTACGGGCCGTAGGCGCCGCCACCCGCTCCCGGCGGGCCCTCATCGGGCGTCAGGCCGGCCCAGCGAAGCGTGTCGATGATCGCCTCCAGCGAGCCGGGCACCACCCGCTCCTGGTCGGTGTCCTCGATGCGGAGGATGAAGCGCCCACCAGGGTGCTGCCTCGCGAAGAGGTAGTTGTAGAAGGCCGTTCTCAGGCCGCCCAAGTGGATGAAACCGGTGGGGCTAGGCGCAAAGCGTACCCGGACCGGTTTTGATGAAGATGAACAGCAAAGAGCTCGCCGGCCATCGCAAAGCTGCTGAACAGCAGCCACTGAAGGTGAGGTCCGCTTTTTAAGTAAAAAATCCTTGCTAAGACAACCTCGAAGGTGCTTCAAAACCGACATGATTCGCTTTTATTTGGTGGTCAGCATTTGAAGAAGAAGTTTCAAAAACCCGAAAATCTCACGTGCTACAAGCAGCAGCAAAACAAACGAGTCACGTGACACAACGCATTCACAGAAGACGGAGTCAAAACAAAGCACGACACAGCTTTTTTGTCGTTTCTAAATTCGTCGATCCAGGACTTAGTCTTCTTGAACTTTATCACCATCACCACCGCCTCCATCCTTGAGAAAGTCCACTGCATTGAAGCGTCCACCCTTTCGCTTCTTTCGCTTGCCCGTCTCGAGCATGTTCGAGCCGGTGGCGCTCTGCTTGACGGCCTCCTCGAAGGCGGCCTCCTCCTGTTGGCGCTTCTTCGCCCGCCCGTCGTACTTCTCCTTGATCTTCCGATCGAAGAACTGGCTGCTGACGAGGGCGGTCTTGTCGCGGCGGTTCACCTTCCGGTTCACCGTCGTCCAGCCCTCGGCATCGGGCAGGCCGGCGCCCCGCTTGGCGGCGAGCCGCTTCTCCCGTTCCGCCGCCTCTTCAGTTCGTCGGTGGAAGTCGGCCAAATAGGCCTCGGCGGTCTTCTTCGCCTGCCACGGGGGCGTCTCCACGGACTGGTTGTACTGGTGCTGCCAGAGGCGAATGCCGGTGAGAAAGTTCTTCTGAACATCACCACCCTCAGAAGTTGGCGGCTTCAAGCTGAAGACCTCATCGCTGGTGGCCATCTCCAGCGCCCGTTCCAGCCCGCCCGGAGACTGAAAGACGACGTAGGCGACCTTGTAGTGGCCGATGTGCTGCTGCTCGTCACCGCCGAAGAAGCTGGTTACTGACTTGACAGATTGATCATCCGTCTCCATCGCCTCGCCCTCTTCATCTCCGCCCTTCAGCGTCTGGATCTGATTGTAGAGCGAAGCAAGCCGACCTGCCGAGGGCTTCTCCTGGATGAAGATGCGCTCCAGCCGACAGCCGCATCGCTTTTCGGAGAAGAGGAAGCGCAGGTGGTGCTCGGTGACAAAGGGCGGAACGTTCACCAGAAGGAGGGTTCGATTTTCCGGCTTCAAGTTCTGATCGCCGCTTTTCTTTATAGTTGATGATGATGGCTGTTTGTGGTACATCAGCGAGAACTGCTTCGCAAAGAGGTGGCGCACCACGGTGGAGTCCTCGCTGTAGCGGACCTGCATCCGGCGGAAGCCCTCGTTGGACATTGGCGGCAGAGTTTCCGGCTCCTTTTGAAGATGCATTTTTGGAACCAGAAAAGAAGGTTTGAAAACAACAAGCGCACGTGTTTTGAGGGACTTCAAAATCGACTATTTCCACTCCACTCACTGCTGTTGTGTTTACCAATTTTTTTTTCGGCCGCTCTCTTCAGCTGTTGACGTTTACCGTCGTCTGTCAAGTCTTGCGTGTAAAGATGCTGCAAAGATAGCAGTGCCACTGTGATCCCCTAACTTCTTTGCTGTTGAAGATCAGCAGTAACAGAAGATCATCAAGATGTCCAAGTCGACGATGAAGAGCAAGATTTCGCCCTCCTCGGGCTCTGCTGCAGGGACCGGCTCTAGCAGCGGCGGCGGCCTCAACTCGCTGACGCACTTCAAGAGCTCGCAGAACTATCTGTGGAACACGAATGCGGTGCTGGGCAAGGGGGCCACTGGAGCGGTGTATTTTGGCCACAACAAGCACAGCGGCGACACAGTGGCCGTCAAGTGCTTCAACCACCTCAGCCACATGCGACCGTACGAGGTGCAGAAGCGGGAGTTTGAGGTGCTGAAGAAGGTGAACCACGAGAACATTGTCCGTCTGTTGGCCATCGAAGAGGAGGTGAGTTTAGTAGTGTTTGGGTTCTTTTTATATTTTAACCCCCTCTCTTTCCCAGAACGACACCAAGCAGAAGGTGCTAGTGATGGAGCTCTGCACCGGCGGCTCGCTCTTCAACATTCTCGACGATCCGCTGAACAGCAACGGCCTCGAGGAGAAGGAGTTTCTGCTGGTGCTGAAGCACTTGGGTTCGTTTTTATGTTACTGCACCTGAAGGTTACTGACGCCTTCTTTCCATAGCTGCGGGCATGAAACACCTCCGCGACATGAACATCATCCACCGTGATCTAAAACCGGGCAATATTATGAAGTTCGTCGCCGAGGACGGCACCTCCATTTACAAATTGACCGATTTTGGTGCGGCAAGAGAACTGGACGATGATCAGCAGTTTATGTCGCTCTACGGGACAGAGGAGTACCTGGTAAGATCATTTACCGAATATGAAAAAACTTTTTTTTAAATTCCCTATTTCATTTCAGCACCCGGACATGTACGAGCGCGCCGTCCTCCGGAAACCGGTCGGCAAGTCCTTCAAGGCAAACGTCGACCTGTGGAGCATCGGCGTCACCCTCTACCACATCGCCACCGGCTCCCTGCCCTTCCGCCCGTACGGCGGCCGCAAGAACAAGGAAACGATGTACAAGATCACCACGGAAAAGTCGAGCGGCATCATCAGCGGCTCGCAGACGGCCGAAAA